CACCATGCCATGGCGGGGGGCACCGGGGCGAGGAGACCCCCCCCCAGGGACCTCAGCACAGCCCAGGGACCTGCTCTGCGCCCAGGCTCCCATCCCCTCGCAGCAGCCTCCCTGCCCTACCCCTGGGAGGGAGCAGGAGCACACGGCACGGCCAGGCTAACTGCCCTGTCTGCAGGGCCCGGGCCCGTGCAGGCGGCTACCACCTTCCTCGTTCCTATCCCAGGCCCTCGGCCGCCGCTTTTCCTCCTGGTTTTCTGTCCCACCTGCGGCTCCCAGGCCGGCCCAGCCCCCTCCAGCGTTCACTGAGACATTTTATCCCCCAGCAGATTCCTGGGCCCCAGCCACTTTCTACCCCACCTGCCTGCTTTTAAAAGCCGTGTCCTCTGGCCAAAAACATAGCAACAGCAACCCTCCTTCCCCAGATTTCAGGGGAGCACCTCCCTGGGACACCCTTCTGAGCCAGGGTTTGGCCCAGAAACACTAAGATCTCCCTTATTTTATGGCTGCTTTGCAGCCCCCAGCCCCTCACAGCACCCCAGCCTGCCTCAGGGACTTGATTTAAGGTCAGTCGCTGATGTGACAAATGTCAGTCCACTCCAGCCCTCCCACGGATTCCCCAGCTGCTCTCTCTCAGTGAGATTTTATTAGAGTTGCAGACATGCCCCAGCTCAGACATTTTTAAAAAATATTTTTGTAGGACAGGCACTTTCAGATCTCCACCTCCCTGATTTCTCCGGTTACAGTCTCAGGCAACAGCAGCTCAGCCTGGGGGACTCCCAGAGACACCCAGCAGGGCTTGGGACTTATCCTGGTACCCCCAGCACCAAGAGATAGCCCGGCTCCCAACAACCTCTGCTTAGGTGATGGCAGGAACCAGCAGCAGCATGAAAGGCAGGATAGGAAATTGCTGCCTCAGCCGAAGCGTTCTGCCTGCTGCTCTGCCAGGATGGGATTTTTGCACTGAAAGACAAGTGGCTGAGATGAGACACTGACTCAGCCCAGCCCTTCCCATTGCAGAGCAGCAGTGACAAACAGAAACCAGCAGCATCGGGATCAAACAGCAACCTCTCACAACCACCTGGGGTGAGGATGAACCGCTATGCCTCTTGCAGTAAGACTAACTTCAAAATCGGTCTCAGGCACCCCCACAACTGCAGCAAATGGGAAAACCCAGCTGAAACCCTCCTCAGAAGATGCCCTGAATGTGGGAGGGAAGGTAACCTCCTCCAGGCATCTCTGGGGAGAGCCAAAAGGGCCAGCTCTGCAGAGAAGGATTTAGCAGCACAATCAGCCCTAATTTAGTGAGCAATTACGGCATATTAGGAAGAGCAGATTCACTGTTTCCTACTGGCAAGCATCCTTAAAAATACCCTCACCAGAGGCAACCCTGCATAAGGGCAAAGGCTGATTTTGGCTAAGTCGATGGCTGTCTTGGCTCCCCACCAGATAGGTCCTCTATGATGGACTTAATCAACTCAAACGCATTAAGCTGAAGGGGGGGCGGGGGAGCAGCCACTGGGTTTCATGTTTGCTGCTTGCATTTCCACAGCATCTCCAAAGCCTCAGTAGCAGACCAGGCCTTGCCATGAAAGGTCTTCTACAAACACCAAACAGGGACATCCTGCCTAAGACACAGCGCTTGGAGCCTGAACAGGACACAAGAGAGAAAAAACGTACAGGAGGGACAAAGAAACACCAAGATAATACAATCAGCAGGTCTCTGCAGCTCAAAGACTTATGAAAGTAATAACAAATCAGTTGCTTTAAAGAAGGATATATATTTTTTTAAGGAATGGGAGTTGTTTTGCAGGAGAGCAAGCTCAAGTGGGGGGGAACTTGGAAGAAGCAGGAAGGTGTTAATTTGAAATGCAAACAGGTGTGTGAAACCCAGGCGAGGTGGGCGGGTGAGCTGATACCACAGTATTGGGTGACCTCAGAAGAATCCTGAAAATGAAGACCAGCCAGAACAACAGCCAGAATTGACCCATGCAGCAGCATTTGGGAAGACAAATGGAAAAGATTACATTTGCCTTGGTCAAAGAATAGGATTTTTGCATTTATCCCCAGGCAAAATGCTACCAGATAAAGCTTTGTACAGGACATCTCGGGAGTTTATAGTACCACCAAACAACCCTGCTGGGTTCCCAGCTTTAGCCATAGCTAAATCACAGCCACACGGTGTGTCTGGCAGCTCACCGAAATGGAGCCAGGGATGCCCAGCACCACCAAGGAACGCAGCAGCTCCCCACACTCCACTGGGTAAACCCCAGGCAAGTCAATCTAGGTCAGGCCCTTTTGGAGAGCGCCCTGCGGCGAGAATTCGACTGACGCCCTGAGACTGCCAGCTCCATGACATCCTTCCTCTGCAAGTCTCAAATCTCTGCCTCTGGAAGAGAAATTGAAACCTTTCCTAGACAGGTTTTAAGCTCATAGTAGTCATCAGCTCAGCTTGCTTGATCTGGCACAATGCTGGCCACCAGTTCTATCCACTTACACCGTATCAGTATTTGCATTATTCTGAAAACTCACACAAATTAATTCTCCTCTGGCCTTCTTGCTCTTTCTGAATATTTCAAGGTTTGTTTGAAAACAAGGCTACACTGCAGCAAAGCCTCTTAGGACTCTTGCTGTTTTTCACCAGTTCAGCATCCTCCTTCAGCAATGAACTCAAAAGTCATCCTGCTCCTTTCCAAACTCTCCTAGTTCAAAAAATTCAGATACAGATTTTGTTTTTAATATTAGGCTTTTCTATTTGATCAATATGTAGAATACTTGGAATTTGTTTCTGATGCATTTAAAAACTCTCACATTTTGTTTTTCATACCATCTCTGTTGATTGCCATAAATTTCTTTCTTCCTGTTTGCCATGCATTCTTGTATATCTAATAGCAGCTTTCCCTAAACAAGGCTTATTGAGCATTTAACTAAACACACTCATTTCACAGCTGTGGGTTTTGGTCATCTAGTAAACGCTTTTTAAACAGATCTCCATTTTACTTCACAGATTTTCTATTTAAGTGCTACCTTTCAATCTGAGTCATCATGCCCATCAACTTTGGAGGCACTAAGATGTACACCACAGCTGGAACGGGCTCCGTTAGTCTGCTGGAATGTGACTGGTATTTCTAATGAAGCCACCAAATTCCAAACTAGTGATAAATTTGTGTTTACACATGGCACGGATGCCAAACGTGTATTCAGAAATACATTTCCAAAACAATGTTTTCCATCACAATTTTCAGAGACTCAAATTTTGTTCTCTTGTAGGTTGCACGAGCTCTGCAATCTGCTGCTCTAAATTAAAAACCTCTAACAACATCATTTTCTCTGTCCCTTGTGGTGAATTGGTGGCGAGTTCTTGGCTCTCCAGATTGGCGTGATGGTCTGTGACAGCCTCCCAGGAGCACCTGTTTTTGAGCTCCGCCAGTTTGCCTGCTGACGCATGGGAGATTCAACACCAACTCGCAACCCAGCCCCTGGCAGTGAGGTGTCAAGATCGAGCACGCTCCCACTTCTACCCTTCCCATGGATTTAAGATCACAATGACACGGCACCCCACTTGTCTCGGATGTGGCACTATTACTGACTTCCTTCCAATTACTGAAAATTTCTAATTATTATTACCCAATCTTGTAGCAGGAACACACATGCAGTTAAGAGGTTTTCTCCCTGTCCTACTCTGGAAGCAGAGTTGACCCATGAAAACCAGTTCCAACAGGATGTGTGCCCATCATGCACGGCCTGGGGGGCTCACCCAAAGGGCTGCATGACCCCCCAAACTCCTCCTCATTGGGGCTCACCTGCCAGCATCCCTCATGGCACGGCACAGCCTCGCAGGGTGCCCAGGCTGCTGACACTATCTGAAGAGGGAAGTGGTGCCCATCAGGACTGAGGACAACCCCTCTCACCGGGTTCCATAAGCAGGAATCTCTGACAGGAGCTGCACCCACCCAGAGGCGAGCCCAGCCCCAGGCTCACAGCTCAGCAGAGTCAAGCAGTGACTCAGGACAAAGCAAACCAG